TGTTTTTTTTTTTTATTATTAAGAGAGAGGAATATTATCAGAAAAGAGTACCTTCTGGAGTTCTTTTTTACAGGATCATTTTTATTCTAACCATACCCACTGCTCCAGCTTGCTCCTTTAAGAAAAAAAGGGGGGTCGAATTTATGTTCCACATGTAAGGTAGTGGTGGCTTATAAATCAGATTTTATAACTGGATAATTAATCTTGCCTCTTTTAAGTGCTGCCAGGATATGAGTATCTCTGAAATATTTAAACTAGAAGAATATATTTTCCTCATATAAATCTGCATGTCACCTATGCCTGGAATAGTGTTTTCCTAATATTATCCTCCCCCAGCTCTGATTTTTCTTTCCCTTTCCCTCAGTTGAAGGTCACAGCTCTTGGAACTTCTATAAATGCTGGACGTGGCCTCTAGAGTACTAGTTAGACAGTGAAATCAGACATAGGCCCAGAGATCATATTCAAGCATTGTCCGTTTCTGGCTGTATTGACTAAGCAAGTCACTGAATTTCTCTAACCCTATTTATTAATTTTTAAAGCCTGTTTTCCTTATCTGTAAGAAGTGGATTTTGATAGCAGCTACCTCAGAGTTGCCGTGAGCATTAATGGGTGCACAGTAAATGTTCAATGAACTTTCGCTATTGTCTGTCTTTCTATAACTCATTCTATGAAGTATACTATAAAGTAGTAGGTCAGAATGCAAATGCTTACCTTAAAGGACATTCAGCAGGCTACAAGGAATCATAGTAGTACCGAATTGAAGAGAGGTCTAGTTAAGGCAGAGAAAGATTTATCTAGTATGAGTGTGATTTTATATATATATATACACATAGTTTTTATATGTATATGTGTTTAATATCTGTACCTCTAAAATATACATATTACATTAGGTCCACTGTGGTGGGGAGGAGTAAGGTTTAGTTGCAGTCTCACAAAGAACAGAACGTAATTTTGTTAATTGCCAGAAAATAATTCTGGCAAGATGAAATAGAAAATAGAAAAAATTTTTTCTACTCTATGAATGTGTTCCTTTGTAGCTTAGATGCCATCTTTTTATAAATCACCCAGTGTACTGAGGAAACTCCTTAAGAAATCCTATTTGAAAATCCATTTTTAAAGCAAAACTTGCTTTAGAAACCCTTTTTTCTTGGGAAGTCTAGTTTTTCATTGTTATCTTCATGTTCTTTTAGTGTTTCCTAAAAGAAATGGCAATCTTCTAGGGGGAAAAATACTAATGTGTGTTAGTTTTAGTTCAAATTCAGAGTGATGGTTCAAGTAAAAGAGAATGTTTGTTTTAACATGTGGTATCAAGGCAGTTACTGCAAGGGTTGGATTTGTTCTTTGTGATACTAATTTATTTTCTGAGAAGAGGCAGTAAATCTTAAGTTTCAATCTTACTTTTAAAATTTATTTTAAATTTGAAAAAATCTGCAGTATAGGTACTATGTATATAGTACAAAATTCCAAAGAAACAGTATAAACATTGACAATTGGAGTCATCCCATATACCCTAGCTAGCCACCCAGTTGCTGTCTTGAAGTCAGTCTTTTTCTTTTCTTCTTGAGATTCAGTGTAACTGGCTTATATTGAGTTTCAAGTAAAGAGTGAGAGAAACATGGCTCACTGACCAGAACTCTAAGCGGTCTCTAATGAGCCTGCTTGAGTACATTTCTGAAAATACAACAGCCTGAATGTGAAGATGTGGAGGTGAAAGGGAAAAGGTAGAGTTTTGTAATTGGGGGATACATCTCTTCTGGTTGATCGTTGTTGGCTCAGTGACCATTTGGCAGTGATTTCTTTTTCTCAGTGCAGGCTTTTCTAAACATAATCCTGTAATCTAATTTCTCTGGGTCTTTTAATTAGACTTACATTTCCCTATTCCTTTTCTTGTTTTAATATGATAATCAAAAATTGCCTGTTTTACCACCAGAACATATACTTCATTAGCTGCATGAGATACTTGGTTTAATTTCCAATTGCCTGTGATAATAGCAGAGGGATTCTAATGCTTCATTCTGTTCAGCATCCTTCTGTTCTTTTTCCTCACCACTGCCTTTTTTAATTCCCCCAATTCTCACTTTTTCTTCTGTGTTTCCTATTAAAAGGCTTTATATTTAACTAAAAAAAACATTAAAGGATTTGGCTGACTGCAGTGGTAAATGTGTTAGTAGGATGCTTTATTTTGGACAGCTGGTTACCAACACTGGGCATATGTTGGCAGCAATAGATGAAAACAGTATTTGGTCTTCCTCTATGACATTTTGATCCTTTATACTGTAATTGGATCTATCAAGTGTATCATGCATGGGAAATAACCTTTTCCCTGCGTGTAAAGCACTGAGATGATGGAGGGGATTATTCTTTCACTCTTTATGCCTTTAGTTTTCACTAAATGCCATCTTGATGGGGGAGTCAGCAAATAAAAGTTAAGTCAAAAAACAACTTCCTGTATGCTGCCATGTGGTAGGGGGACTAGTTATTTCTTCCCAATTTGTCTTAAGAACAAAAATATTATATCCATAGCCATATTTGCCACATGAGCCTTTGACTTTTCGCCTTGAAATTTTTGTTCTGATCATCAAATTATAGCTAAAGATGATGCCATTTGTGGCATTATCCTTTATATAATAATGGATATTGTCATAAATGTATTTGATTTAAAATTATATTCTCTACACATTTATCTTTTAGGTAAAATCTTATGCTGGAGTAATCTGTAGACTACCGAGATTATATGAGTGTTAAAAACAGTAGCTAAATTGTGGCCAATATGTTTCTTCTCTCTCCAGCAAAAGGAAAATCACACCACTATTAGTTTCTCAAGCCTTTACAAGGGACTTTAGCAAGAACTAACAATGAGCTGACATTTTTTTTTTTTTTTTGGAAGTT